AGGAAAGGAAAGGAAAGGAAAGGAAAGGAAAGGAAAGGAAAGGAAAGGAAAGGAAAGGAAAGGAAAGGAAAGGAAAGGAAAGGAAAGGAAAGGAAAGGAAAGGAAAGGGAGAAACAATAAAATCAAAAGACAAGGAGAAACAAAAGGAAAATAAAACATAAATATGAATACAAAAAGAAGAGGATGAGGGTGAGGCAGAGGAAGGAGCTGGTGGGATGCAGGTGGATGCTCCATGCCCGTGTGGCTGGTCCAGGGGTGCAGGAGTTGTGGGGGGTGCAGAGGGTGTGGAGCAGGGGTGTTCTTGGACTCACCAAAAGGAAAATAATAAAAACCCAGACAAAATAGAGAAGGCAGAGGCCAGGTTCCCTTTCCCGGGGGCAGCGCTGGGGCTGGGGTGCAACTGGAGCCCTTTTGGGGTGGGTTGCGGTTAAACCAAACCCCCCTCCCCATGCACTCAGCCTCCATGGGGGACAGGGGAAGGGACAAAGCAATCCCTGGGTGACCCCAGCCCTGAGCCCCCACTCCCCACCTGATCTGCTCCTATGGTGACAGGGTGACACAGTCACTAGGGACATGGCCATCCCGGCTGGACAGAAGGTCGTTGGCTTTCTGCTTTTTTTTTCTTTTTTTTGCCCTTTCTTAGAACTCCTTCCACCTCCCAAACCTCCCCCAGGGTGGGCAATGCTGGTGCCCAGCTTGGGCCCCGAGGAGGAGGAAGATGCCATCCCTGGAATGTGCCATCCCTGGGAGATCCCATCCCCTGGAGATGTCACAGCCCATCCCACTCGGTGGTCCCATTGCTGTCCCAGCACACCCCGGTGTCACCACCGAGGTGCAGGCACACCCTGGAACAGTGGTAGAGAGCTGGGTGTCAGCAGCGCTTCCTGCCCCCCTGGATTTTTGGGGAGGCTGGAGAGTATGTGCAGGATTTGGGGGGCTCCAGGGTGCTGCTTTGGGGCTGAAAGCAGGGATTTCCTCGATGCCCCCAGGAGAGTGGCTGTGGTCCCCAAGACACACACACTTTGTCTCTCCCAGGCAGAGGTGGGGGGTTCCCAGGGGATTCCCAAATCGCTGCCTCAACCAGTCCTGGGCAGTGGGAACAGCACAGGAGGGGGTCCAAGCTCACGGTGATGGGGGGGTGCAAAAACTCCCCACTTTGGGGCAAAAGGAAGCAGGGCTGTCCCCTGGCGTCCCCGGCGTCTCGAGGGCCACCCCGGCGCAGGGGGCGGCAGGAGGGGACGCGGACAAGGCACAGTCTGGTGTCCCCGCGGGGGCGGCCGGGCCGGGGGGTGGCCGGGGCGGGGGTCTCTCGGCGGCGGTGCCGGCAGCGGTCCCTAAACATCCTCGTCCTCGCTGGCCTTGCTCCAGCGGTGGCAGCAGTTGGCCGTGATGCCCAGCAGGAAGTTGGTGGCCACCGAGGCGATGGAGACGACAAAGCCAACGAAGGCGATGAAGAGATAGTCGTCGAGGGTCAGCGTGAGGTGGCAGGCCTGGAAGCTCTCCTCTGTCAGCGACAGCAGCGGGGCCCCCGCCACCTCCGGGGGAGCCCAGCACTCCGCCTGCTGCGAATCTGCGGGACGGAGGGATGGCGTCAGCCCGGCCACCGACCCCCGGGCGGGACAGGGCGCGGGGGGGCCCGGCAGCACCTACCCGAGGAGCAGCGCTGGATGCGCCCCCGCAGCCACTTGAGGAGGGGCTCCATGGCACAACCGCAGAGCCAGGGGTTTCCCCCCAGGCGCAGCCCCACGAGGCCGGGCAGCCCCTCCAGGGCGTCGAGGCTGAGGGCGGCCAGGCCGCCGTAGCTGAGGTCCAGCTCGCGCAGCTGGGCCAGGCCGCGGAAGGCCTGGGGGTGGACGCGGCGCAGCCCCGGGTTGTGGCTGAGGTCGAGGCGCAGCAGCGCGCTGGCCTCGCGGAACATGTCGGCGGGCACCAGGCTGAAGTTGTTGTAGCTGAGGTCCAGGTGCGCCAGGCGCCGGGCGCCGCGGAACAGCCCGGCCGGCAGCGCCGCCAGCGAGTTGTTGCGCAGGTCGAGGGCGCGCAGCTGCCCGTAGCAGCCCAGGTAGCCCGGCGGGATGCTGGCGATGCGGTTGTGGGCCAGGCTCAGGTTGCCGGTGTCCAGCGGCAGCTCGGGGGGCACGGAGAAGAGCCGCTGCCCGCTGCAGTCCACCGCCTGCCCGCGGCAGCTGCACAGCACCGGGCAGCCCGCGCCCGCCGCCGCCACCGCCGCCGCCGCCGCCAGCAGCCAGGGGCCCAGCAGCATGGCCTCGTGGCCGCGGCCCTCACGGGGCGCCGGGGGCCATCCCGCCCGCCCGCTCACGCCGAGGGCTGCCGGCGGCCGGCCGCAGGGCCGGGTTCGCGGCGGTCACAGCGACGTTCCCGGCATCCCGGCGGCATCCGGGGGTCGACGCCAAGCCCTCCGGGGGCTCCGGCGGGGCCGGCGTCGGGCCGTCACCGGCTGCCTGCGAGCGAGAGGACGGGGGAAAGCCGTGCCGGCCACACGCCCCGGCGGGGGGGCCGCAGCTGTTGCGGCCCTGGGGTGGCCTCTGGGGCAGCCTCACCCTCCCCGTGCCCCCCGGGTCAGGGTCACTCCTCCAAGCATCCCCCGGGGATTCCAGGCAGAAAAGGGCCCCCCCAGTCCTTCTGACCTTGGGCAGCCCATCCTAGCCGGTGATGGGCAGAGCAGAGGTGCTGCTCCACTGCCCCTCACCGGTCCCCGCCAGCCCCCAGTCACTACGAGCTGGGGTACCAGGGACACCCTCCCCACCTCTCTCTCGGGGCAATATCCCCATTCCCTGCACTCACCGGGGTCCTCCCAGGCCTGCCCTCGCCCCTCACCACCTGACCATGTCTGCTCCATCCTCCCTCGCCGCACCCCCCAGCTCCATCCTCTCCCACCTTGCCCCGGTCGCTCCCCATCCCCACAGCGCCCCGGCCCCCCCGTGAGGCCGGGATGCCCTGGGGTACTCACTGGCCAGGGAGGGAGCAGGGCCTGGCTCCCTGCGGTGATGTGGGGATCCTGAGTGGCGATGTGGAGGGCTCTGGATGGTGATGGGGGGTCCCCGGTGGCCGCCCACACCCCGGAGGCCGCCAAGTCGGGAGCTGGGCTTCGGCAGCGGTGGCCAAGGCTGCTGCGAGCCTGGAGATGGGAGCAGGTCTTTCCCCACCTCCTTCCTCCCCTCCTCCTCCTCGTCCTCCCTTGTCTCTCTCTTTCTCTGTCTCTTTTTTTTTTCCTCTTTTTTTCCTTAGGGCCAGATACTGACGTGTCGGTGTCTCTTAGCAACTGCCTCCACATCTCTGAGCAACAGGAGAGCGGGATGCAGAGCCGCCGAGCCAGGGAGACAGCGTCGGGCGGAGGTGCCCCCGCCTCAGGGACCCCTGCCCAGGCCGGGGCACTGGCACCCGCACGGCCCAGGCACCCGGCAGGGATGGAGCAGGAAGAGGGGTGGCATCCTGCTCCCCTGCCCCGATCCCCAGCCCTCCTACACTCGCCCAGCCCCGGGAAGCATCCTCGTGGGATGGGGTGAATCAGGGGTTCCCAGGCGCTGAAAACAGAAACAGATGACGTGGCAGCAGAGGGGAGAAACGAGGCAGCCGGGATCCAAGGGGAGCTCTAGGATCCAAAGGGAGCGCTGGGATTCAAGGGGCACTGCCACCCTTCTGTGCTCCTGCTGTGTTCACAGCCCTAGAAAATGCTTCAGGTTGACATGGATTATTTTGCTTCACGCAAGCTGAAACATTCCCTTTCCCTTCTCTGTTTGGAAGGACACAGTGGGGTCAGCCAGCTGCCCCTTCCCATCTGAGAACAGCCCTTTGGGATCACAGGGATCCCCACAGTTTGCTCCAGGAATGCTGCAACACCATGGTTCCTGCATTTATAGGAGCACATCCAGCCCACCCACGTCTAGGGGTTCCCTGCTTAATTCTCTCCTGCTGATTTCATGGAGCTGCTCCTTTTTCCAGCTGGCACTGGCAGCCCGATGCTGGTGCTGCGGGGCCTTTTGCTCCCCACATCCCATGGGATAGATTCTCCCTGGTGCGGCGCTTGGCAGACAGACAGCACAGCCGCCTCTCCTGGGCATTAACCAGCACTGCTCCAGGCTCCTGGAAAGCTCCTGGGAGCTCCTGCAGCGCGAGGCCCGGGGTCCCAGCGGGCTCCAGGAGCTGCGGGAGCCGAACTGAACCAGCGGCAGCACAGACACCTCATTAGCGCTCAGCCCGGAGCCTGGCAGCGCATCCCTGCCAGCAGCTGTTGGCGCCAAGGTTTTTTCCACTCCCCCACTGTTCCGGGCTCCACTGGCACCAAAGAAACTGGGAAATTGTCCACACTGGAGCTGGGCTGCAGCAGAGCTCGTGTCCTCCTCGCCCAGTCCCTTGTGGAAGGGGCCTTGGGGATATCGTGCTGTGGAGCATCTCTGAGGAAGCCAGAGGACAGATGCTGCCCTCTGGGGTGGGAAGCAGTCTGGCTGTCCTCCCCACCTTACCCATGAACTCCCTGCCTGATCCCATCCAAAAAGCATTCCTGGGACAAAAGGTCCCTTGGGCGAGCACTGGCTCTGGGACTGAGGGCTCCAAGAGCTTCCAGCCCCTTTTCATGGAAGGAGTGGCAGGATGGCTCCAGGGATTCTGACCCTATCAATCTACCTTACAGCCACAGCCATTTCTCTTTCACTCCATCCCTGCTCCTGTCAATCCATGTGCACTCAGGCTTGGGAAAGGAAGGAAGGAGTGGGATAGGTGCAGCTCTGCTGCTGAGGTTGGGGAGGGGGGATGTGGGGTGTGTGAAACCTGGCACACTGATAGCTCCCCTGGGGAACCTTCCCCTCCCTCACCCTTCCCAGATCAACCCAACTTCTGCTCAGGACAGGCTGTCCCACTGCTCCTGCCACAACAGGATCCAGAGCTGAGCCTGGGCTTCCTTTTTCCATTAGAAAAACAGAGTGAGGAGGCATTAGCCACTGCTTAAATTGTCCAGGGAGACTTTTCCTACAGCAGGAAGAAGATTCTGGCTCAGACTAAGATGAGTGCACAGGAATTGTTAAAGGAAAAGGAATTAAGGAAAATAATTAAGTCAGTAAAGATAGACAAATACATAAATATAGTAAATATATATAAAAAAAGCCTTACAAAAACATTATGCCCTCCGGATGATTAAAAAACCTGATCTTCCCTACAGCAATTTCCAAGCTTCCTTGTATGAGGGAATATCCTAAGTGAATAGGAAATGAGGCAGACTAGGAAAGGGCTCTGGTTGCAGAATTAGTAACTGTGATTTCTGCAAGGCAAAAGGCACAGTCACCAAGGTACGGGAAAGGAGACACCCACTGAGTGTTGGCCTTTATATTAAACAACTTTATTTCTGTACAGAAGAAGGAAAAAAAGAAGTTAAAATTGTAAACACAGGGTAAGTAGAAGACAGTCCCTAGAAACCCCTTTTGCTGCCGTGGCTCAGCTCTGGAAGGTGCAGGAGGGGCCGCAGGAGGGGCCAGGTGGGGAGTGCCACACGGCTGAGCTCGTGCGCTTGAAGTAGCGGGGTTTGCTCTTGTAGAAGATGTGCTCCAGCCTGGGGCTGGGGATGGCCCCAAACAGCACGTCCAGGTCAGGGGGGTTGTAGTACTGGTGCATGATGGCCTGCTGGAGCTGTGCCCCTGCAGGAACAACAGCAACAACACATGGATACAGGCGCTGCCTCAGCCCGCAGGACTGGCACTCCCCTTTCCCCTCTGAGAACCCAGGAGCTGTGCAGGAGGGGTAGGACACGTCCCACAGCCACCACACCTCACTTCTCAAGAGTTGGGGCTGTCTCCCCCCTTTCCTCTCAGAGGACTCTGGTTTCACCTTAACCCATGAGCGCTTGAAGGATGTAGTGCTGATCCCCTCAGCACAGACAGCTGGGATCTGCCAGAGGTGCACACACTCCTGGACTGCGCTTTGGGATGGCTCCAAGCAAGGCTGAAAAGCTCCAGGGCAGGAGGGAAAGGAAGCCAGCCCAGAGCTGGCACTTACCATCAGCCCAGGCAGGGACGGGTTTCCGTGGGTTGCTCTCATCATCTGTGGAGTCATCACTGTTCAGATCGAGCCCATAGCTGTTCTCATTGGCCGGGGGTGACCCTGGTCCTTGAGCACCCTTCAGGGACCCGAGGCAGGATGTGGAGAGGGATTTCTGAAACCACACAGAGAGCTGTGATGAGCAAGGGGAAGCAGCACTTCTATGGCTGGGATGGCCACCAGAGCCCCAAAGTGCTCAAATCATGAACCAACATAAAACTGTCACCGGGCTCCGTGCCTTGACACCTGCTCTTAACACTCCCTCTCCTCCTGTTTTCTGTGGAAAAACCTGGGAAAGGCACACTGTGCGTGTCTCAGCACTCGACTCTACTCCTAAACCCTTCCACATACTCTGTCTCATATTCCCTCCCTGAAGCTCCGACACAGCCTGGACGGAGCCCACAGCCCCAGAACAGGTTCCCAGCAGAGACAGCGTCGCATCCAGCTCCGAGCAGCCTTTCCTGTCGCTCTGCCCATGGAAGGCTCCGCAGCCGCAGCAGGCACAGCCCGGCTGCCCAGGGCCGCTCCCGCGGGGATGTCGCCTCAGGACCTGCTGCCCTCCTGTGGCCGCTTCCAGCATCTTTTCCGCCACCAACCACTTGTTTTTCCATCGGATTCCCTGTGCCGAGCGCTGCGGGGGCTCCGAGCTGCGGGGGCTAAGTAGCCACAGAAGGTGGGGGCCACCCGAGGGCTGTGCCGGGGCCAGGGCTCACCTTGACGGCTTTGTTCGGCCATGTCCCAGGGGCTGCTGGTTGAATGGGCTTTTTCTCCTCTCCCGGCTGCTGTTGACCATCAGCCTCCTGTAAGACACGGGAATTAAGTAATTTCTCACTCACACAGAACAGACTCTGACACAGAGCTGTGTTCTCGGCAGCTCTGGCAACATCCACCCCTCAGTGCCTCTGTGGCTTCTTCTGTAGAAATAACCCCAAATCCAAGACTCCTAAATAAAGCCATTCCTGTCTCTCAGCTCAGGTCCAACCTGGCTCTCTGGAGCCCACACTCACCCTCTCTGCTTGGAGCCAGACATTAAGAGCTGGGAAAAGGCATTCTGGTGCCTCATATCTTTTGTCCAGCCCAGGCCCAAGGGGCAGCTCTTTGGGACTTTCTTTCCCCTAATAAAGATAAAAGAAAAATAACTGCTGAAGCTCCTTTTTAACCCAAACTATTTCTCCTCAAGTTTCCCTCCTGTGCTGCTCAGCACTTGGAGTTACTTCCATTTTTCTCCTGCCTGGAAAAGCTTTGCCAGGCTCATTCTGGCCCAGCTGCTGGCAGCACAGGAAAGATTCAGACCTTAAATTAAATTTATACAGCACAAAAGAGTCCAAGTGCCAGGGACTGAGGGAAGGAGTGCAGCAAGAGCCCACACAGGAGGAAGAATTGATCCTGAAGAGGAAGAACCATTTGGGGCATTGATTTTTCACTAATGAAGCAATGAATTTAAGAGTAGAGAATGAAAGCAAATGTTAGTGTGATATTTCAAGACCAGCAACCCTGACTTAAAGCCCCAATGTTCTTTGTGTGAGTGCAAATGAAGTGACACACAACCATGTGGCACCTGAGGTTTGGGGGTCACGTCCTTTGGGCACAATGAGGAAATGTGGCAGTAAAACATTAATAAATCTCTTATTTCCACATTGATTTCAGGATCAGTGAATGCTCTCTTTGGGGTGTTCTTCCAAGTGCCATTTCATGACTGTCACCATACCATGACAGGGCTGAGGGCTCACCTGTCAGGCAGGGAACTCTCAGCCCTAGGCTTGTTCCTGCACAGCACCTCTGTACAATAACAATCATTAGTTTAATTGTATTTGACCCTCTGAACAACATCCCAGCAGCACATTGGAAAACACCTAATCCTGAACCCAGCCTGTGTGCTGCAGAGAGGCTGATCTCAGAACACTCCAGCTCCACACCTTGGTGGCCTTGCCAGCCAACGCTGCTGGCTCCTGCTGTGCTTGGGGGGGCTTCTCCTTCCCTCGCTGCTTGGGATCCCTGGGGGAAAAGCAAGAATTTAGAGGGGCAAGCATGTCCAGATGTCCCTCACCCTCTTACAGGCTCCTGCTTCTGCCCTCCAACCTCCAGCCAGCCCCAGAGCCCAGGTGCAACATCATATTTACATCCACTGCTTCCCCATGGCCATGGCAAATTCCCTGATCAGAACAGGCACCAGCTCGCACCTCTCCTTCGCTTGTCCCAGTTGTTGCTGCTCCAGAAGGTTCTTCAGTTCCAAGACTGTCTTCCCCCTCTCCTTCACTTCATCCTCTCTTTTCTGCAGTGGTTCTTGCTGCTCATTTTCCTCCTGAAGAAACAAGAGGAAAACCCTGTAAGGCTCCAGCAGCTGGAACATTTTTCCCTTGTGTCCCAACCCAACCTCAGCTGCCTGGACAGAGATCTGGCAGCCCAGGCCCCAAAATCCCTGCAGAAGCAGGCAGTGACCTGTCCCTATCCCACCAGCCACACTAACACAGCGGGTCCCTGCTATCCCTGTCCTTCTCCATGTGCAGGAGTGTCCTGAGTTACTCTTACCCCTTTCAGGGCTTTCTGCCTCCGTGCCTCCACTTCCCCATGTTTCTTGGACCCTTTCCTCTTGCTCCGGTCCTCTGCCACCTTCTCTTCCTTCACCTGTGAGATGTGCACCAGAGAAAGCCACACCTGTCAGCTCCACCGCTCCAAGGACATACCTCACAGCCTTGGAGGGAGGTCTGGAACTTGGGATATCCCAGATCCCAAGGAGACTGAGACCCAGTAGTGGGTGCACATTTGTCCGCTCAAGGTTTGGGAAGGGCTGAAAGGAACATCACTCCTTGTTTTCCAAGGCTGAACCTTTCCAAAAGTTTCTTCAGTCCAGCCCAAAATGAGCAGCCAGGCCTCAACCCAGAGGCTGCTCAGGCTCTGGGCCCTCAGGCACAGCTCCCTCAGCCCTTCACAGCCATAACACAGCAGCAGTACTGGCATGTGGCCACCAGCTCACCAGCCTGTGCCCCCAGAAAGGGTCAGGTCAGGCTCTGAAACCCAAACCTGGCCCAAATGCACCCCCTGCTGAGTTACAGTCCAGTCCAATCACGTGGGATAGGTGAGGCTGTCACCTGCAGGGCAGACAGGGGCTGCCACATTCCCTGAACACAGAGCAGCATGAACAGGACCTGTCCCAACAGGAATGTGCAGAGGGATTGAGAACAAAAGCCTCCCCTTGTCAGAAGGAATTCTAGCACGCATGGACTTTGCCAGTGCCCTGTTCACACCTCCCTGGTCTCACAGCTCTCAGAGAGGCCCAAAGCCCACTCAGTCTTCTCACCTTCTCATCACTCTGCAGGATCTTCTGCTCCATCCGCTTTTTCTTCTTTTCCTCCATCTGTTCTGCACGCTCCCGAGCCTGCAGGGCCTTCCTCAGACGCTCTTCCCGCTTCCTGGGCAGCGCGTGGGCAAGAGGGGCCCGTTAGCCCTGCCTCCTCCCAAAGTGCTCATTCCAAGTGGGAAGCACAAGGCAAGTCTGTGCTGACCAAGGAAAGAGCAAGGGGAAAGGGGCCCAACTCACTGCTTCATTTCTGCCTGACGCCGTCTCTTCTCCTCCTCCACTTTCTTCCTTCTCTGCTCCTCAGCCTCCTGCTTCTTCCGGAGGTTCTCTAGTCTCTGCCTCTCCTTCTCCTGAAGGGAGGAGAGTTCAGACTGTACCAGCTGCTGGGGGCTGCGTATCCCCTCAGGCAGCCTGGTATATGCAGTCACTGTTGGAGTCCTTCACCTGAACACTGGGATAGGGAGTGAGCAGAAGGGGAGACAACACATATTTGGCAACCAGGACTATCCAATGCAAGCAGAGGTACAGGAGGGAAAAAACACAGTTCTTCAGCTGCCCAGAATATATTTAGAAAAGAACAGCACACCCACTAGGTGACCACTTAACCCAGGAGTCAGGAAAATGGTGGAGAGGGAGCACAGTGCAGCCTGGCTCAGAGGCCAGAAGCTCCCAGCAGTGCCAGAAGTCCCAGCAGAACACACCTGCACAGAGATCCTGCCACCTCACCACTGGTGTGGCCAGAGGGCTGATGGACATCAGCATGAGGGGAGAGAGCAGTCAGCCCCACAGATAAGGTGCCATACTTACAACAAAGTCTCCCTGCAGAGAAAGGGCATAAAAAAAACATCATTAAAGGTTTGGAAGTAACACCAGAGCTCCTCTTCCCAGCACATGCAGCCTGTTCCCCTCCTGCCCCTCAGATGTGACGCACCTTCAGGGGGGGCCGGGTGGGAGTGTTGCGCTTGATGAAGTCCTTGATGCCACCCCCTTGTCCCTGCAGGAAGTTCTTCAGTGGCCTGACAGCCTGAGGGGAGAGAGGGAGGGAGCTCAGGGCCTGCCTGGGACAGGGGGCACAGGGCTGTGGCACCACTCACCTTGCTGGCTGGAGAGGGGGATGATGGAGCCTGGTTTGCTGAAGTCTTGAGCTTCTCATCCAAAGGGGAAAGGGGCCGGCCCCCCGTGTGCTGCCCCTGCCACAGGACACCCAGGGCTTGCTTGCAGCCTTTCATCCTGGTGGCATTAGCAGGAGGGACATGAAGTGGCTGTCACACCCTCCAGAGGGATTTACTGGCTATTACACCTTTCTCCCAAAACCTCACCAGCAACACACAGTGAGGAGACACATCAGGTGTTCCGGGAGCCAGGTCAGGTATTCCAGACACTCACACAGACAAAAATAACCAGGTCAGTCACTTGCACCTCAGGAGCCCTCGGATTTATCTCCCAGCTTTGAGCTAACTGTGCTAGGGCACCTCTGCTGGTTTGTGCAGGACCTCAGGTGCTCCTCCCTGTGCCAGACCCACTCTCAGAGCCAAACAAGGCTCCAAAAGCCACAGGATCTGGCCAAATGAGATTTCAGAGCTACCAGAAGCAGGGAAAGACAGGGAATCAATCCCCCTCAACCTTTTTTTAGCACAAATTACTTCAAATGCTAAACCCGAGTCCTTCCAGACCCCTGGCTCATCCCTGCTACCTTGCAGTGTCTCCTACCACATGCGGGAGGAATTCTCCCGGGACTTGGCACAGTTGGGTTGTTCCTGGCTCTTCTGAGGTTCACTGTTGGGATTTACATGGCTTCCTGTGGAGAAACCTGCAGTCAGTGCCACGTGTGAGGCATCCAGCTCCCTCCAGGGACTCTTTCCTCCATTCCAGCTCCAGCTGCTTGTCACATCCTGCAAATCCCACAGGGAACAAAAACCTACCCCCAACTCCTCCTTCTTGCTCAGAGGCACAGAAAATAATCAGGGCCTCTAAATCTTCACATAATGCAACCCCAGAGGGAAAGGATATGACATTCTCTGGAAGAATCCACAGAGGAGCTCCTTCCCAAACGTCCCCACTCACTTGTTGCACAGACCGAAGCTGGACAGGGATACATTTGTCTCATGGCTTGGACACATTTACATATCCTTTCCCACCTAACTAATGTCTCACCTCTTCAGGAGGTCCAAACTTTACCTGGAAAACCTTCTTGACTAGTCAGAGGTGGTTCTGTTTCAAATCCCTTATTCCCCAGGAACGTCCCCCCCTGAGCCCTAGGCCTGTGTTTTCTGTGGGTTTCATGCAAGTACAGCAAGACCACCCAGAAGTTACCTGCAGCATTCCCTGCCTGCTGCTCCAGAGGGGACAGGTGCTGTGCAGTAGGGCTGGCAGCTCGGGGACTTGTGCTTGGAACAAGGACATCTCTAGAAGCCTGCAGGGAAAGGGGACAAACATTCCCTTAGCACAGCTGCTCCAAAGAACAAAGCTACCAGGGACCTGCTGCCCTGGAAAAGCCAGCTGCTTGCTCAGATAGGGTCTGCCTCCTTCCCAGTGAGGGCTGTGCTGGCTCATTTTGGGACATCAGCCACATCCCTGCATCCAGTGACAACCTCAGCAAAGGTGCTGACTCAGCAAGAAGGCTTTCACACAGTCTGAGCGTTGTTCCTTGGAACTCACCTTTTCCCTTGGGGAATTTGGCTCCAGCTCAGGCCTGTAAAGGAAAAGCTATTTTAATAATTTAAATTCTCTCTGAAGGTGAGTTACAGGTGATGGAGGCAGTGCATGGGACTCCAAGGAAGGTGAAGGTTCCTAAGCACATCCAGAGGCTGTTCCAGCCAGGCACTTCAAGACTGGGCTGTAAATTCCTCTGAGGGACTGTCCTGGTGTGCTGCTGGCCCACAACCACCTTGGGCCCCAGTAGCAGGAAAGGAGGGGGCTCTGACAGCCTTGGGCTGTCCCCTTCCCCAGAGCAGACCTGACTGAACACCAACTTTCTGGGGCTAGTAGCAGCCAGGAATTCCAGGAACCCCAAGACACACCAACACTCACCCCAGTGAACGACTTAATCTTACTGTGCCTGAACAGCACAACCTGAAATCTCATCCAGCCCCAGGTGACAGCAACACCTGAGCAGTCCCTGACAAAATCCATGGCAGAAAATCCACCGGGAGAGTGTGCTTTTCGGGGAATGCTGGGATCCCTTCCCACTTGCCTTATGTGGCAGCCTCACCTTGTGTTGCTGATCACATCTTCTTCCACAAAAGCCTCCAAGGAGCTCTGACCTGGAGAGGAAAGCCTAAGTGGTGCTGGGGAGTTCACTCCCAGGCTCCCAACAGCCACAGGGTGCACATGGAAGAGCTCAGGCTTCCTCCCAGGAACATGGATTGCTCAGCTTTCCCCACCAGCACCACACCTCCCTCAAGTGCCACTGAATCTGGAGTGGGCTGGGAAGGCAGAGCACCGAGGCAGCAGCTTTGCTGCCTGCAGCCTGCTCCAGCTGCCTGTGTCACAGCCAGCATTCCCAGGCCATTGGCTGCAGCTCCTGCCTCCCTGCACGCTCTGGTGCAGGGATCCGGGGGGTTTGGGCTGATTCCAGGCTCATTCCACCCCCCCATCACACCCCTCCGCTCCAAGTGTTATAACAAATGCCTGGATACGGCGTGACTCAAGGCTGACAAAGCTAAATTCCAGGGGCCTCCATGCTCCACCACAGCCTGTTTGCCTGCAGCAGCAATGGTTTTGGAAAGCCCAAGCAGCCAAACCCTGTCAGGAGCAGCAGAAATAGTGGACACAAGGGATTCAGAGTTACCAGGAATAGCCTGGGCTCCATAACCCCTGTTCCTCTGGTGACACAGCTAGTTTGAGTCTTTTCTATCCTCGCCCAAAAAGCATTTGAGCTCCTCTGCCCATTTCAGCCTAACTTCAGGGCTGCACTTTCAGCCCTATTGATTTTTTTGGAGAGCTAGCAGATGCCATAAATTAAAGCTCTTCCCCAGGGAATGCAGCAGTCTTTCCCAATCTAAAGGCACACATGGCTGGAACCAGCCTGGCCACGCTCTCCCGTCCACAATTGTGCTTTTTGCCAACTCCCAACCCATGTACCCCAACACCACCTGCCCCCCAGCCTTTTCACCTGCTGCAGCAACACCCTGGCTTGAAGCTGCACCCCAGAAGCCCACAAGGACAAGGAGACTTGGGGGAGCTGGAGCCAGGGATGAGCCGATCCACACTGCTCCATTCCCACATGGAAGCAGTGCAGGGACTCACAGCTCACTCTGCTGGAGGCTGAGGAGGATTCTCGTGCTGTTGCCTTCCTGGCCATGGCCCTGCTGATGGATCTCCGGATCATGTTCTCCCTCCTGCTGGCCAGGGAGCATTTTTCTGCCAGGGAAGTCCTATGGCTCTTGCGGGGGGCCGCCAGCCCGCTCCGGCGGTGTGTCCTGGATTTTGCTGTTGCACTTTTACTAGGGGAGTCCTGGAAGAGCAGCATCTCAAGGTCTTGAGGAGATCCATTTCCTTGGAACACAGCAGGATCACCATTCTGAGCAGCCTTGGGAGTGGAGGTGCTGGCTCGCCTGGGGTCCTGTTCCCCATCCCTTCCTGGCTGTTCAGCTGGGATCCCAGGGACACCAGAGACCTCCTGGAGCTCTGCTGCTGCATCACCCTCAGGCAGCCGCTCCTCCAAAACTGCTGGAGGGGCTGCTTCACCCCCAGCAGCACCCTGGGGACACTCCTGGCAATCCAGGTCTGCTGTGAGAACATGTGCTTTCACAGGCTGCTTCCTGGGCAGAGCAGGGGGCTGGGGTGTGATGCCAGCCTGAGATTCCAGAGTGCAGCCAGGCACGGATACATCCTGCCCCTCACAGCCAGGGCTCTGGGACTGCTCCTGGCTCAGGCATCTCTGGGAATTCAGACTGGAAGACAGCAGCTTGAAACCACTCCTCCTTCGGGAAAACCTTAAAGGGAAAGAATTTTGAAGGAAAATAAATTTGAAGGAAATGATGTCCACTTCCAAGTAAGTTTTAGAGGGAAAAGTGGACAGTGTAAAAGTGAAGCTGCTGCTCACTTCTCCACTCCACCATTTCCCCCTCACAGCCCATCCTATCCCTGGGGAGAGGCATATGGACACAGCCCAGGGGGGAGCTCACACACAAGGGCTGTGCCACACAGACACAGCCCAGGCTGGGTATCAAGAGTCGGGTATGGAGAAATGGGCATGGGAAAGGTGTATTTAGCCCTACACCAAGATCTGGGTTTAAACCTCACCCTGGGAACAGCGCACAGCAGAGGACAGCACCTACAGAGGGACACACAGTATGCTACCTTCCTGCTGACAGGCCTGGCTGCATCAGCACCTCTCCCCAAACCAAGTTTAAATGAGGAAAAACACCAACAGGAGTTAGCTGGGCTGCTCCCCCGGAGAAGGTGTGACCTGAGCACCCAGAGCAGGGCCGAGAGCTCTCCTGTTCTGATCCGCAGTGCTGCTTTTCCCACTCTCCCTCGCACACACACAAACCTCCCACGCTCCCGCTATTCCTGCTGCTCTCCCCACCCTCCATGTCTGCATCCTGACAGTCTCCCAGCTCTAGCTCTTCCTCCTGTGGGCTTTTCACCACAGTTAGAATGATTTTAGTGCCCTAACACACCAACAGATCAGGTTTGGGCAGCTTTCAAAGTTTGGTTCCAGGCAAATCACTTGGAATTTCCACTTCAGTCCCTTGATAAACTCTTGGAGTCTCCCTGCCAATTTTAACACGGTGCTGGGAATACATCCCTTTCCCAAGTTTTCCAGGCACTGACACAGAGGCTTAGGGAGTGAACATCAGGAGCAGCAACCACAGGCCAAAAGCCAAACCCAGTGAGACAAAATCCAAATCTAAAAAGACATGAAAATAGAGTGTTTATTATTCTTTAACTATAAACAGGAAAAAAAAAAAGTGAAGGAAAGCAGCCAACTTCATCCCAAACTCTCACCAGAATCCAAACAGTGAGCAATCCCGATGCATCCCTTTGATAACTGAGGGAATGCAGGCACTGATTTGTTTAATCCAAACAGCATGAGGCAGAGCCAGAGGAAGCTGACCCACCTACCTCCTCTTGCTCAGCTCCTTGTTTTCCTCCCTCATCCAGGAGGACTGCCTTTTCCTGAGCTTCCTTCTCTGCGATGGCGTTTTGGGCAAGAGCATAGGCTCATCCCTGAAGCTGCTGTGAGGCAGAAGAGGCAGAGCACAGATTGCTTCTCTCACTACCCACATCAACCCTCCCAAAACAAGGGAAGGATGGGGCCCAAACCCACCCACACCCAGCTGGGAGCTCAGGTGGGCAGAGGGGTCCCCTCAGGGCAGCCCCTACCTCTTGAGCATCCTCATGCCCTGCTCCTCCACCTCCCGCAGCCAGGCCAGGTGCTTGTTCTGGGCATCACAGAGGAAGCGGGACAGCCTCTGCCCACAGACTTCCAGCAGCTGCTGGGGACCCTCTGCCATTGCCTTGCCTGGAACACAGAGCGAGAGGACAAGGCTGGTGGGCAGCCAGGATACCCCTCAAGTGGGAAAGAGAAACGCAGGTAGCAGGGTACTCCCAGGCATGAGAGGGAAATTAAGACAGGTCGGGGCACAGGTGTTGGGTGATCCCCCTCCACGCCCCATACTCCCGGGGACCCTCCCAAGCCCCCAGGGACCCTCCAGAGGGTTCACTCGCCGCCCAACCAGAGCTGCCCCCGCTGTTGCCGCCGTCGCCGCCTCGTCCGCTCACCACGCCCTCACAGCATGGCCCGTCCCTTCCCACTCCGAGCTTATCCCCGGCCTTCGCCAATCATAGCTCGCACCTCTCAATCTCCGGGCTTTTATTGGTTATTTCGCCCGTCCGTCACCCCCAGCCTTTAAAGTGGGCGCCCTATGGCCCCGCCTCCTCAAGCCCCGCCTTCTGAGTTATCCAGGGGCGTGGCGACGGGCGAGCCGAGCGGTGCCGAGTGCGAGCCCTTGCCCTGGCAGCCAATGGGAAAGGCGGGCCGTGGGGGGGCGGCGGGCGGTGATTGGCTGCCGCCGGGGACGGGGCCGTGTTTGAACGGCGTGCCGCGCGCGCGCGGCCGTTGACGCTGAAGAGATGGCGGCGATGGGGCCTGCGGCCGCCGCGGCGCGGACGCTGGAGCTGCCCGCGGAGTGCGACCGGCGCCTGGCCCAGTTCCTGCAGCAGGTGGACGAGACCGATATGGTGTGGCTGGATGAGATCTATGAGGAGGCGGTCAGGATGTTTGTCAGGTACCCGCATTCCCGCTCCCCGCTAGGCCCCTACCGGCCGCCCTCCGCGCTGATCCCGTCTTGATCTCCCTTTCCTCTCTAGCAACTACAGCGAGGAGCTCGAGCTGATGCCCAAGACGCCGTCGCAGAAGAAACGGCAGCGGAGGAGGCGGCTGTCGGCCTTCCGGGAAGAAGAGCAGGAGCCCGGCAGGAAGCGGTGAGAGGCGGCGGGAGCGGGGATGGGGGAGCCGTGGAAAGGGGGAGCTTAGAGGGTGTCCTCGGGGCCTGGAGAAGGAAGGGAGCCTGCGGGAGGCTGAACAGACCTGCTGCTATGGGTTCAGGGAAACAATGCCCTCCATGGAGCATGTACTGGCGATCCCCTCCTTTGTCCGATGAGAGTTCCCCTTCCTTCGTCCCGCGCGTCCCGCTGGTGTTAAAGGTCCGGTCAGACCCTTGTGTCTGGGGCACTCTAGGCTGAAAAACACTGGATTTCGATTTTCACGAGAAGTGTTTTTATTGTTGCCTAGTTCTATGTCCCCGTGTCTCTGTCTATTATCTTTCTGCTTTAAAGTCATGACATCCCTTAATTACTGTCTGCGTTAGCTGCTTTATGCAGCTCTGTGTCTCCTGGCCCATCCAGGTGTTTTGGCTCCTTGCCTGCGTGTGAATGGATGGACTTTGGGCCGTTCACAACTCCTGTACCTATCTAACCCACTGTTCCTGTGATCAGACTCTCCAGGAGGAGGAACAGCAGCATCAAACCGCTGTCTTCTGTGCGATCTTCTCAGCAACTTCAGAACAAAGAAAACCTGGAACTCAGCAGAGCCGAGGCCAAAGAAAACTCTCCACCACAGCGTGTGACACGATCCCGGGCTGCAGCCTCTGCCAGAATCTCCAAGGTGGTTCCTGAGACTCCATCTGCCCAGCAGGCAGCAGGGAAGGATCCCTGGGTGGAAGCTGACCAGGCTGGTACTGCAGTGCCTCTCCAGAGGAGTGGAGGAAAGCCGGCAGGGCTGCTCCCCACAGGCTCAGGGAATGGCTCTCCGAAGGAACGTGGTACTCCCAAATCGCTGGTGGTGCCCAGTACTCCTGAGGCCAGCCAGGCTGTGCCTGAGATGCAGACAGCAAAGGCAGCCAATGTCACCATAATCCTGAGCCCACAAGCTGGGCTGGAGGAGGGGGATGGCTCCCCATGGGAACACAGCCGGGTTCAGGAGCCCTCCCAGCCCCTGAGGAGCAGCCCGGACACTCCGACTGGCTCCCGGCTCAGCCGCCGCTCTGTGCGCCGGAGCCTGATGGGGAAAGGTTCCCTAAGCCGCAGAACCTCCCTGGCAGAGAAATACTCCCTGGCCAGCAAGAGGGAGAGCGTGATCCGGACGTCCATCGCCAGGGCAGCGGGTAAGAGGAGGGCAGCTGGGAAGAGATCCGTGTCCTCCAGCTCCTTGGATGGTGAGTTTGGGGGGTGGGGGGGTGTCTGCTGCTTTCTGCCGCTGGGGAAAGCAAAGCATTGGGGCTGGGTCTTCAGTGTGAGGGTGGCAGCTAAGCTTCCTGGGCTAGACAGGCTGCAATCCCTCATGGAGTTCTCCCTGGCTTTCTGGATCACCCTGTGAGCACAGGAATGCAGGTAGCTGAATTCAACCTTGTAAATCACCTGGGAGATCAGCCTCAGTGTTTTCATTTCAATGTAGCTTTAACCAGTGCTGATTTGCTGGGAGAATTTGCTAATCCTGGAATCCCTGGGAAAGGATGATTGGGGTTGGAAGGACCTTAAAGATTAGCCAGGTCACTCCAAGCCCCATCTAACCTGGTTTTGGACGCTTCCAGAGATGGGGCAGCCACAGCTCCTCTGGTCAGCTGGTCTTCCTGGTTTCTGTGGGGACTGCTGGCAAAGCTGAGAAAGATTTGGGGATTCAAAAGGGGTGGTGGGTTCTCCTAAAGCCCTGCCTGTTTCCTGCAGAGTGAAATTCCCACCAGTTCCCTTTTCCATAGCAGGATCTGGCTGCTGGTTCTAGAGTTTGTTTGAGAAGGGAATTTTGAGGTTGGACTTCGTAGATGAAAAGTCTCCCACAACTTTATACTTGGTGGCAGAGGCAGATTTAGCAAGGACAGTCTCATCTAAACTGCTGGAATTATTAAACAAACAAACTGGAGGGAGACTCTTCATCAAGAACTAGAGTGACAGGACAAAGGGAAATGGGTTCACACTGAGGGGAAATTTAGATGGCATATATGGAAAGAATTCTTCTGTTTGAGAGAGGTGAGGTCTTGGTGCGTGTTGATAGAGAAACTGTGGCTGCCTCATCCCTGGAAGTGTCCAAGGCCAGGTTGGACAGGGCTTGGAGCAACTTGGGCTAGTGCAAGGTGTCCCTGTTCAAGGTAGGGGTAGGAATGGATGAGCTTTAAGGTCCTTTCCCACCCCAACCAGTCTGTGACTGTTTGATTCCATGGTTATTCATGGCAGGTTCTGGCTGTGTTGGAGCTTCTGAACTCAGTGTAGCAGGACTAACTGGAATACTGGCTTGGGAAGCAGCAGTCCCACTGTAAATAAGGATGGCTCTGCTGTTGATGTCAAGTTAGGGCCCTGCAGATAAGCCTGAGGCTAAGTCCTACCCCATTAATGCCAGCTTGTATATATCACCCTGAAGTCATCCATAATTGAAAACTGCTTTCCTGCTGGCCACCTTTCTGCAGTGCTCCTGTGCCCCACCCTGCCCCAGGGCAGGACAAACCCTTTTTCAGTGTCTGGAGGTCCTTGTTCCACCAGATCCTTGGCTGCACCCCAACCTTACAGCTCAGGTGTGTTTTTATCTCTCCCACAGCCTCCAGCTCCATAAGTGTGCCAGAGGATGAGGAAACGGTTGTCAAAACTGGGTGAGAATGCTTTCAGTTATTTATTTATCCTCACTACCTTGTTTTCAGGATTTTGTCACTGTCATTTGTGGTGTAAAATCCAAGTGGCTTCCCAGTTTCCTCAGTTTTGCTAAGTACAGCCCCTTTTGTCTTTTATTTCTAGGCCTCCTCCTGGACCCTCCACTCCCTCCAAGCTGGTAAGATTTGGGCAAGGATTAAAAGCATTTGTGTCTGTGTGGATTTGGGAGAAAAATGTGTGGAATACATTCCTTATTGGGAAAATTGGGAGCTTTGCCTGTGGATTGTCAGACTTTGTAACCTGTCCCATAGCAGTGAATGAAGATGGTGCACAGCATCTGGCTCAGAGGTGCCCATCTGAGCCTCTGTGGTTCTAGTACTCAGACTAGGGGAAGTCTTAATCAAAACATTCCAGAACCAGCAAAACCAAAAGCAGCAGTTTTATTTGGGACATGAGCATGTGTGGCCTATGGCTTTGGGTGCAGGTGTTCTGTTGGAAGGGTGTTACAGACCTAAATGCTTTCCAATATTCTCTGACTAAAACACAGCCTTTCCTCTGTCATTTTCCTAAATCTGTTGAAATTATTGCATACCACCCTGAGCCTGACCTCAGGGTTGAGTCCTGCTTGGCTCTTCCTTTTTAACCTCTTACTAGAGATCATTGTGTGAAAATTCAGTCCCTAACCTTTAGAGATAAAAAAACCTTATAGTTCAGGGAAGCTTGGTTCAGCGGGAGTCGTGGTTCACACACTGTATTTTTAAAGCTTCTTTTGACCTTTTAGTCAGTCCTGCAGGTAATTCAACACTTTGTAGTTTGGACACTCACAGAAATATGTGAATATTTGTGAATATTTTTGAGATCAACACCTTTCCCTCCACAGTCCTCACTGAGGAAGTAATCCTGGGATCATGTCAGTGTTTTGTCCAGAATAAATGAATGAGCAGAGCCTGAATTAATGGAGCAGAGCAGTGACCTGAAGCACTTGTGAAAACAAGGAGAGCTGTGCAGAAACTCAAACAAAGTCAATTTTTCTAGGCCCTGCAGAAGCAATTGTGGGGGATGAGTTCTCCACTATTAATCCCTTTTCTTTTCCCAGTGCAGCACTGTGAAGTTCTGACCAGGAGGTAATGCTGGTACTGCTAGCAGAGGGCAATTCCAGAACCACAACCCATTATCCCAGCAGAGCGAGCCCCAGCTTAAGTGCAGAGGCAGCGAGCAGCGATGGGTATCCCATAACAAAGAGATAGATCATGGAAATGAGCCATTTGCCTGCTGTCTCCAGGCTCCCCATTCATCACTGCTCAGGGAAATGGGCACACTGGCTCTGGCCAGAGCTCCGGCAGCACAGATTTACAGCTTGGAAGGGCTCCTGGCCTTA